TCGATATTTTTGAAATTTAAAAACTGGTATGACTTCTCAGAGCATGCTCTTTCGAACCATGCACACCATGGCCTAGTTTTCACTGAATTTGGATTTCTAGGCCACCAAGCTAAAATACTAAAATGACCGTAATTCACTTCGAAATCGATGTTTTAGATTTCTAGGTCATTATTTTGAAATCGAAAAATAAGACCATTGTGTGCATGGTTCGACAGCTTCGACAGCCAGTGGCCTAGAAATCCACATTTTGGAATTCTAGGCCACAAAGCATCACAATCGAAAGCGCAAGTTGTCAGAACTACGGCACACTTTTTAGATTTCAAAAATCTCTATTTTGAAGCGAGCTACACCCATTTTAAGCCAGGTGGCCTAGAAATCCAAAACTAGGCCATCAATGTCAAATCGATGTAACTCGCTTCAAAATGAAGATTTTTGAAAATTAAAACCTGGTATGGGGTTCTGAAAACAAACGCTTTTTCTTGAAATATAAATGGCCTAGCTTTTGCAAAATTTGGATTTCTAGGCCACCAAGTTTACATAGCCGAAATGTGCGTTTCTAGTCCAGTTTTCAGGTGATGGCCTAGAAACCCAAATGTCGCATTTCTAGGTTTTAATTTTTTTTCCAAAAAATAGGTTTCCTAGTCCATTTTTTCGGATTACTAGGCCACATTCCAGGTGATGGCCTAGAAATCCAAATTTCGGATTTCTAGGCCACTAATTTTTTCGGTTATTAAAAACATAACTCTAGGCCATTTTTTCCCGTTTTTTCTCAAAAAAGTTTCTAGGCCATTGCTCATGCTTAAGAAAATTCCAGAATTTCAACGCCTACCCCATGCTGGAACGTCAGGACAAATGTCAGTCGCGCGTGTATCTGGAAATGGCCGAAGAGGAGGAGTTCAAGAAAATGTATCGAATTTCGGAGAACGAACTGATGTTCGCCGGTTTCCCCGAGACGGAGAGACGCAGAGTTTTACTAGAGCAAAACGAGAAAATGCGACAGAAATATGAGAATGAGGTGCGACTTTTTTGGCGATTTCTGGACGATTTTGAGTCATTTTAGCCCCAAAAAAGTGGAAAAATCGGAATTTTTAGGCATTTTGGGACCCGAAAATGTTGAAAATTGAACATTTTTGAGCTCAAAAAGCTTGAAAATTGCCAAATTTCAGTCAAAAATTTGAAAATTTGAAAATTTCCAAGATTTTCCAAGACCATTTCTAGACTTTTCAACGCTCCAAAAATTGAAAAAATCGGGAAAAAAATAAAATAAACTCTGAAATTCCAGAGTCTCTACTACATGCTGTGCAAATCCTGGTCGGGACATGTCAAAAATTGGGAATCGCGATTCAGAAGAGTAAGTGTAGGGGGCCTAGAAATCCGGCGAATTCGAAATCTCGCCCCACCTGTGGCCTAGAAATCCCACTTGAACCGATTTCTAGGCCATCGCCACCAATATGGCCTAACTTCCCAATTTTTGTGTCTCTAGCCCATCTAAACTACTTGTCCTAGAAATCTCTTAATTTGGTGGCTAGAAATTCCTTCAAATCGATTTCTAGGCCATCGAAATGGCATGGACTAGAAATCCGGAAAATAGAGATTCTAGGCCATCAAATCGACTAGGCCTAACTTTCCAATATTATGAGTATCTAGGCAATTAAAATTTTCTGACCTAGAAATCTTTAGATTTGGGTTTCTAGGCCATCAAACTGACTTGGCCTAGAAATCTGGAAAATAGTGTTTCGAGGCCACCAAATCGACGTGGCCTAGAAATTTCTAAATTTGGGTTCCTAGGCCCTCAAAGCTATATGGCCTAAATTTCCAATACTTGTGTTTCTAGGCAATTTAAATTTTCTGACCTAGAAATCTTTAGATTTGGGTTTCTAGGCCATCAAACGGACCTGACTCGGAAATTCGAAAACTTGGGTTTCTAGGCCATCAAATCGAAATGGCCTAACTTTCCAAAAGTTTGGTTTTCTAGGCCATCAAACTAGCTGGCCTAGAAATCCCTTTGAACTGTTTTCTAGGCTACCAAGTTGATATGGTTCAGAAATCCGGAAATCCCATAAAACCAATTTCTAAGGCATCGAACCGAGATGGCCTAGAAATCTTTAGATTTGGTTTCCTAGACCATAGGTATTGCTGGCCTAGAAATCGCTTCAATTCGATTTCTAGGCCATCTAAACTACATGGCCTAGAGAACCAGAAAACTGGGTTTCAGGCCACCAAAGAAAACGAAACTTGGTGGCCTTAAAATTTCTTGATATCGATTTCTAGGCCACCAAATCGAAATGGCCTAACTTTCCATTAGTTGCGTTTCTGGGTCATGAAACTTACCTGGCCTAGAAATCGCTTTCAACCAATTTCTAGGCCACCAACTTGACATGGCCTAGAAACCCCTTAAATTGAGTTTCTAGGCCACCGTGGCCTAAAAATCTAAATCTTTCATGGCCTAACTTTTTTTCTCTTCCAGCCCTTTCCCGGAACATCATTGCTCACCGTTCATCGAACGACGACGTCTTCAAATGGCAATGGCATCCCCCTAATCACCCTAGACGACAATGAGCAATCTACAGTAACCCAAGGAATGACGTCATCGACGGATTCATCTGAAGGCAGTACTGTTGACGTCGAGATGACGTCTTCTAGAGAGACTTCAGAAGACGTGATGGAAGTAGAAGACGTCGTCGCTGGAGAAGGAAATCAGACGCCTTCAGAATCCGCTTCAGATGACCACGACGATTCGAGTGAGAATCTATTCAACGAATTCTTCATTCCGAATTCAGAAGACGTCGCATCGCCACGTCCACTAGAAGACGTAACGATGATTCGGAATCCTCTGAATGTTGTTTCGGAATTTCCAACGACTTCAGATTCTCAACCGGACGAGGATCTTTTCGGAGAATTCTTCCAAATGAATTCAGAAGACGTCACGGCTTCTGAATCTCCAACGATGTCTGGAATCGGTCAAGAAGACGTCAGGGGAGATTTTCGAAGAATATCGATCGATGAGGACAGAATTCAAGGAGGTCAAGATTCAGAAGACGTCAAACCTTCAGAATCACCACGTCAAAATCTGACGTCTTCAGAATTGCCACGCCATCAGAATCCGGAGATTTCAGAAGACGTCAAATCAGAAAGCTCTCCAGAAGTAAAACTAGAAGACGTTCGGAATTCAGAATCTCTAAAAGACGACGTTCAAAGGGCTCCAGAATCGCCACTTTTTCAGAATCGAGAATTTCTAGAAGACGTCAAAGAAGGAGCTCCAGAAGACGTCGTCAAAATTGAGAATCCAGAATATCTAGAAGAGTCACGTCTTCAGGATCTTCCGACGACTTCAGAATCATTAGAAGTGCCACGTCTTCAGGATTCGTATCCTGACGTCATCATCCAACGCCCAGAAGACGTCCCAGTGTTATCAGAAGTGCCACGTCATAAGAATCATCCAGAATCTTCAGAAGATGTTGAAATTCAGAAGGCCAAATCGCCAGAAGACGTTCGGGATAAGGCGCCAGAATCTCCAGAAGACGTCGAGATGGAATCTCCAGAATTGCCCCAACATCAGAATCCAAAATTATCAGGAGACGTTGAAATTCAGAATTCCAAGTCTCCAGAATCGCCACGTCATCTATGTCCAAATCCTTCTGAAAACGTTCAGCGCCCAGAAGACGTTCCAATGAAGGCTCTAGAATCTTCAGTTGACGTTAGAATTGATTCTCCAGAAGTTGTCCAAGCCAATGCTTCGGGATCTCCACGTCATCAGGATCCAAAATTTTCAGAAGACGTTGAAATGGAATCTCCAGAAGTCGACAAGGAAAAGTCTCCAGAATCTTCTGAAGTCGTTCAGGGAAAAGCCCCTGAATCCCCACGCCATCTGAATCGAGAATCTGCAGATGACGTTGAAATTCAAAAGGCTGAATCTTCGGAATCTTCATGTCATCTGAATTCTGAGTCTCCAGAAGACGTCCAGCGCCCAGCAGCCTCTCCAGAAGACGTTGAAATTCAGAAGGCCAAATCGGCAGAAGACGTTAAGATCGAATCTTCAGAATTCGTCCAGGAACAATCTCCAGAATCTCCACGTCATCTGAGTCCAAACCCTTCAGAAGTTGTCCAACGCCCAGAAGACGTTGCTCCAGAATCTCCACGTCGTCAGAATCCTCCAGAAGACGTCAAAATCCGGGAATCCGAATCTCCAGAATCCGAAGAAGGCGATCCATTTCATCTGAATCTTTTAGGAACTCCACGTACTTCTCAAGACATCTCAGAGCCGTCGTCACGTCTTCTAGTGAATCCGGCTCCAGATGTCGACGTGCCTGAAGACTCTGAATCTTCGAAATGAGTAAAAATTCAAATTGGTAAGAAAACTCGCTCTATTGATAATTTTTCGAAAATTCTAATTTGAAATTTTTCAGATCTCCCGAAGCCACGCCCACAAATCGAAGGATATTTATAAATTGTTTCTTCTATTTTTTCCTGTTTATATGAATCAATTTTTTATGTCTTTTGATCCAAAATGAACCACTTTTTCCACTTTTCTCTCTTTTCTCTAACCGCTCTCCTCGTTTTCCACACTCTCTCGCCTCTCCTCGTCCACCTGACCTCCTCCCCTTGGTTGCCATGGTTACCAAACGCGCCCCGCCGGACACACACACTCACCAGATTTTCAACTAGAATTCAGAGCTGAGCAATCTTTTTTAGTTAAAGCTGAGCAATCTCTAATATTCTCCCGGCTCAAAAATGAGCAATAGCATGAGCAATTACTCGCGAACGGATTTCGCTCAAGTCGGAACGACAAATCGCGGATGCATGAAGGTGATACCGGCTGATAAGGAGAAGGATTTTGATTTGGTGGGTTTCCTGAACAATTGATTTTTCTATTAAAATTTGTCTGAAATTTTGAATTTACTTTGTCTTCCCTTACTATTAATAAAACTAGCTTCGCTTTCCGCGCCCTTTATCATCGCCCTCTGCCGCTGCTTTCACTTGTTGCGCGCGTAGCCTACTGGCTAACGCTTCAGCTTTTGAACCTGAAGGTCCGGAGTTCGATTCCCCGGTGGCTCAAATCTTTTTTGTTTTTTGTGTAGGGATGGGAAATGTAATTAAAAAATAATTTTTAGACTTTAAATGTCAACATGAGGTTTTCCAGATAGTTGTTGGTGGTCAAAACGGAAGTCTAATATGTCTATCCAGGAAATCGAACGATACGACGGTAACTATAGGAATCCGGGCATCCCGACAAACGTACATAATCTTTCAGATCGTTTTCAAAACGCCACCAGGCCCTCCCATCCAGTCATTGGCACTGGGAGGAAGTCCAGCCAACAAAAAGAAAGATAAAGTATTCTTCGCATCTGGAAATCAGGTCCGAGGCGTTAACAAGAAAGGAAAAATCTTTTTCTCGATGGAAACTACAATGGCTGAAACAGCGAATCGAATGTTTGTCAAAGGAGTGGATGTAGTGTTGACAGGAAGAAAAAGCTACAGTCGGTATCATGATACACAGGATTCGAATGTAAGTGTAGTGCCAACTTTGAGGCTATTTATCTCGCTTCCTGTAAAAGATATAAAAAAGTAGTCAACTACAAAAATATTTCTGGGATTATAATCAACATTCTGTGAGTTGATTACTTTTTGATATCTTCTACAGGAACGGAGATATGTAGACTCGAAGTTGATGGTTTGATGGGCACGCGGCAGCCAGTGCTTACAACCGCGTAGCTCAGCCGGTAACTGCTCGATGACCTCAATATTTTGCCAGTATACTAAACAAAACTAGAACTTCATTTTTTTAGTTGACAACTTTTTTTGTGAAATTGATACTTGAAGAGATATGGACGCAATACTAGACGTTAGCTGACAGTTGGGCCTGAAACCTAGTATTGAACATTTTCTTGTAAAATTTTTTCTAGAAGTGTTACAAAGTTTTGAAATATGTCATTTTGTAGTGTTTGTTATGTTCTATGATATCCATTTTAGAAAACCAGAAAATATCGACGCTGAAAAAAGTTACAAAAAGTCTTAGACATGCCATGTGGAATGTGCACACCTTCGGAGAGGAGTAAAGTATAGTGTTGAAAACTTGGCTTATAACCTTTTTCATAGGAGTACCACAACGTTTTCAATTATATTATCTTGTAGATCTTGTCAAGTTCCATTATGTCCATTTTAGTTCGTCCGAAAAAATGGATCCTAAAAAAAGTTATGGACCGGCCAATGTTGGCTAGCGACAAGCCGACCAATGGAGTACAAGAAGTTCCTCTTAAACTTGACTCAATTTATCTCGCTTTCTGTGAGAGATATCAAAAAGTGACAAACTGATAAAATTTAATTGATATTATGATAAACATTTTGTTAGTTGACAGCTTTTCGATATCTTTTACATGAAATGAAATAAATTGGGTCGAAATTAGAGAACCTACTAGGCGCAACATAACCATAACTATGCATACTAACCTAAAAGGCTTATCTTGAAGTTTTTGACACAGCAAATCTAGAAATATAATTTTTTCTATGCTTCAGAAACTTATTAAAAGTTGTCTATTCCAGAACTATCTCTGCACGGAAGACATCCATGACGTCGTGTCCCTTGTCTACGAAGAAGCATGGGGCGCCAGAGAGTACACTTCCGTCCTAGCCTGTGGAAATTCCACACTACAAGTCATCGAAGGCAATAATCTTGGCTACGAAGTCCGTCTAGAATCCATCCCATTTACCGTATCCCTCTTCATGGGAGATGGTGGATTCTCAAAAACGTTGGTACTCTATGGAACCAAATCCGGACGGCTCGGTCTTGCGTCCGTACCTCAAAAAGGGGGTAAAATAATTTGGGAAATTCAAACGACGAGTTCTGCATGTGTGACTACAATCGTTTGTTACTCGGTGACAGGAGGAGAGTTTCCGGATATCATTGTCGGGAAGGAGGATGGTTTGATTGAGATTTATGTCATTGATGAGACCGATCATGCACATCTTTATGGCACTTTTGTGAGTTTATATCCTGCTAAAGTTTAGAAGAAGTTGAATGTTTAAAATTAGACAGTTGCGAGCTTCAAAACGAATCTAAACTTGGCTTGGCAGACCTGCGCCTTTAAACTTGAGAATATTGAAAATTTTCAAAGTACCACATGATTATACTCATTTGAAAGCTCTGATTAAGTTGTTCTCAAAAATGTTAGTTATTATAAATTTGGGCTGAAACTAACCGAGTTACAGTCATTTCAATTTTTTGAAATTTGAAAAATTTTGAAAAAAAAATTTTATGGGAATTTTTATTGAAATTTATTACAATTTTTCACTTTTCGAATTTTCCAAAGATTCTCCGTTTTTCAGGCTTGCGAGGAGTCGATCACTGGAATCTCATGTGGACACGTGGCGTCGAAGACTGAAACGGACATTATTGTGTGCACTTTTACAGGTATGCATGTCTAGATCACCCAGTAGCTAGACGGCGAGTCCAATATTTTGCCAGTATACTAAACAAACCTAGAGCTCCATTTTTGCAGTTGACAACTTTTTTGTAGAATCGACGCCTGAAGAGATAGAGACGCAGACAGTTAGAGTGTCTCGTTGCTTGTACCTCACCATCTTCAAATAGCCGTATCTCGGCTCCTAGAGGAGCTAGTGAACTGATTTTTCAGCATAAAACATATCTGTTTTTGTTACTTTTCACTTCAAACATTTTGTGCCAAAAATCCTTTTCTAGCTGCGCTAGAAGCCGAGATACGGCTATGGGGAGGCGCATACAGCGAGGCGCTCTAACTGTCTGCGTCTCTATCTCTTCAGGTATCGACTTTTCGAAAAAGTTGGCAACTATAAAAATAAACCTCTAGTTTCGTTCAGTACACTGCCAAAATATTGAAGATGCCGCCTAGCTAGCAGCTGAACTACGCGATCGTAAGCCCTAGCTGCGCGTTGTTGTCTGTTTGTCCAAGTGTCCCGATGTCCGAACATTATGTTCCAGGTTGGCTTTTCTCCTTGGCCAAAACCAGTCGTCCTCTGATCGAAAACCTTCCCGTCGCTGCAAATTTCAGTGTAAAAATGCAACAATTGAGGTGAGAGGAAATTTGATATTCTCATTTGAAATTTCAATAGTTCCATTTTTGAGAAGAAAGTGACGTTTTCTCAAAAAGTCCAATTTTACATTTTTAATTAGGTATCTGAAGATCAACAATTCCAGATCCGAAGTCGAGGAATTGCAATCTAAGGTCAACGAGGAGAGATTGAGATATGAGGAGATCACAAAGCGACAAGGGGGTGGAGCCGGCTCCACATTCTTCCACGCTTTTCAGGTAAGTCAATACTGGTTCAAATTTGTTGAAACTTGCGTTTTGAGAATTAGCTTGACAAGAGGGTCAAAATGAGTATAAACATGACCTAGATTGATATAGCTGAGCACTGCGGTTGACGCTTGCGAGTGCGTAGCTGGCACAAGACATCACTAAAAGACAAAAACAAGTGTAACTCAGTCAATTCTTGTCCAAATTTGTTGATATTAACAATTTTAAAATCAGCTTGAAAAGACGGTCAAAATGAGTATAAACACGGCCTAGATGGATATGGCTGTGCTAAGCGATTGACGCCTGAAGTAGCTCAGAGTGGCACAACACACCACTAGAATATTAAAATGAGTGTAACTCAGTCAATATACGTCTGAACTTGTTGAAACGTAATTTTTTGAAATTGTCTTAAAATGACGGTCAAAATGAATCTAAACATGACCTAGATTGAAATAGCTCAGCTATGTGGTGGACGCTTGCGATCGCGTAGCTCAGTGGCACGACAAATAACTAGAAGACTCAAATGAGCTTAACCAAGTCAATTGTTGTCTGAACTGTGCAAAATAAAAAGTTTTGAAATCAGCTTAAAAAGACGGTTGGAATGAGTATAAACATGATGTAGATTGATATCGCTGAGCCATACAATTGACCGTATAGCCCAGTTGGTCGTAGAACGACTCCTTCAACGTCCCTAAAACCGAAATGTGTACTTCCAGGTCCACGAGAACTTCGAGTACAGTCCAGTTCACAACGCCTACAACCTGACTATCGAACTAGTGATCCCAATCGATTTCGTCGTCGTCCAATCTCAACTTCCGATTCGTTTAATGGAAGTGGAGAAGAACGCGTCGGTGGTCAGCGAGGTTCATCAGGATGGTCTCAATCCATGGCCACTTTTGGCATCATACCGGTGTCAGGCAAACGTTTGTCGATTGGAGCTACGAGTTCAGGCGAATGAGGGCGATTCTGGTGTGATCAATTTGTATGTGTGTCCCAAGATTATGCCAAAATGTGCGCAGGTGAGTCATAAAAGCCGGCCGCGGCCAGCTTAGCCAGTCTGGTCAGTCAGAGCCCGCCGCGGCCGGCCATGGAATAGCCTTTTCTTGGTTATCATAAAGTATGGCTCTTATGGTCAAAATAAGGTATTTCTAGGGGAAAAGGCTAGTAGGTTTATGTCGCAGCCAGCTTCAATTGAATGGTCCTTTATGGAAAAAAGTTGGGATCATTTAGCTCTTTCGTGGCGAAACCCCTTGGTAACTAAAGACAATCAAAACGATGTATAACAGTTCGAATACTTTATCATATCAATTTATCAGTTTTCATTCAAAATGAACAGACACACAGACAGACGAATCGGGATGTGAGGGGGGAGAGAAATTCCTTGGGGTCATCATCAAAGAGCCAACGCACAACAACTCATACAATCTCGAGCCGATGAGTAGAAACAGCCCAGATTGCAGCCACATTTGTCCAGTGCTCTTTTTGACATTGCATTATCGGGATCCTGGAAAAAATTGATTTGGTTTTTGGGATTTGGGTTTTTGACCGATAAAAATGACTACCCTAAAATCTTGAGTCAATTTATCTCACTTCTTTTGAAAGATATCAAAACGTTGTCAACTAATAAATTGTTTATCATAGTATCACCAACATTTTATCAGTTGACACATTTTTGATATCTGTTACAGTAACCTAGATAAATTTGCTCAAAGTGGGGAGACCATTCTATTGTAGGTAATTTTGTTGATTTTTACAAATTTTGTAAATTCACCCCATATAGAAAAGAGACATTTTGAACTTTTGAACTCCAAAATTTTGCTCAGTGAGCAACAAAGAAAAAAGAGACGTCACCCCTCAAGAAGGGATCTGGTGGACTATCTAGAATAGTATAGATTTCTGTGTTTTGTGTTCCGCAACACGGCTGCTATATGTTCAACTCGATTTATCTGGGTTCCTATAAGAGATAGCAAAACGTTTTCAACAGATAAAATTTTTTTGATAATATGATTAACATTTCATCAGTTGGTCACTTTTTGATACCTTTTTCAAGAAGCAAGATAAATTAGCTCAAAGTTTATAGCTCAAAACTACACCCCAACATTTTATGATAGCCCTCCCAGAATAGCTTATTATCTATTCTTGTTTTCAGGAGCATTGAAGAAGTTATTTTGAAACATTCCTATTCTATTTCTAGTATGTAGTATCCGAAATTTTCGGTCCTTCCTCTTTTTCTTATTTCCGCGAAACTTCACAGAAATTTGGGGACTCAAGAAAGGCCAAAAAATGATAAATGAGCCCTTTGAGGACATTCAATTTTCCGCCCTAGACATGTTTTCAAAAGGGTCATGTACCTTTAAACATGAAAAATAACTATAGAAAAGGAAGCAAAGAAAAATTCTGGGATCAGGATGTTAACCAAAAATAAAGACCGAGTATACAATTATCGCTGTTACTTCTTGGAGGATTTTGTAAAATATTTTTTGTGTTGTTAGTTGAAATTGGCGAGTCAAGAGCTTCAAAAGGAGTATAAACAAGCAAGAGTTTGAGAAAACTCGAATTTTCGACATTTTTGTGTGTCCCAAAATTTCGAAAAATTTAATTTTTGGAAAGTGGTTCATGATCATATTCGTTCGAACCGTCTTGACGAGTAAAACACAAAAATGTAAACATTTCTGATTTTGGCACAAGAATAACCGAGTTACGGTAGTTTTTGTACCTATGCCTCGCTAAGCTATGTGCCTTTAAACTCCAAAAATTGAAATCAATTAAAGTACGCGATGTTTATATTCATTTGAACCGGCTTGATGAGTAAAACTCGAAAACGTTAACATTTTCAATTCTGACCTAAAAACAGGCGAGTTACGGTAGTTTTTGTGACTCAAAGAACCTATGCGCCTTTAAATTGCTAAACTAAGCCCAAAGTGGACTAAACTAGGTCATGTTGGGACTCATTTTGAAGCTCAAAATATAAGAAATTCAAAATTTTAAGTTTCGTTGCAAAAAAAAAACCAAAGCAAGATTTACCTGCATTCTTCCAAGGGCCACAAAGAACGGATGCGATTCCACCATAGTGACCATGAGCAAGGCAAAGATAACGATGAGCAAGATGATTCCGCGCATTTTGTCGAGAGCAGAATGAAAGTGAAACGAAGAGCTCACCCGAAATGTATTCCTTTTTACGAAAAGAGGGGGCGGAGCCAAGGTGGGAGAGATGGCCACGCCCACTTTCTTGAGAAAGCGAAGCTAAGCGGGGAATGGTAATTGGATAGGGATAAATGTGTCATTAGTGGAGAAAAAAAACGAAAAGAAAAGAAAATTCTAAATTTCCTTTTTTGGGGGGGGGGGNGGGAATCTGAATCTGAATCATANATCTGAATGTCGGATGACGTTGCGGAAATTGGGCGGAGGAGGAAGATCAAGTGAAGGGACATGTCCCAAACAAACAGAAAAATATTTTCCTGCTAAAAAATACATGTCAAAGTAATAAATAATTCATAAAAAACAAGGTATTTTACATTACCTGGAAACGTTTTTAGTTTAGAATAATTTGCACTTTTCGTTGGAACACTTCAAGATGAAAATTAAATCATAACTTTTTTAGTAGGATAGGACACCAATTCGAAATTGATTCACATTTTTGAGTTTTACTCGTCAATACGGTTGAAATGAGTATAGTCATGACCTAGTTCAAAAAGCATTTTTTAAACGTTTAAAGGCGCAAATGTACAAAAACTACCGTAACTCGGTGTTTTTCTGCGCCAAAATCAGAAATTGTTACATTTTTGAGTTTTACTTGTCAAGACGGTTAAAATGAGTATAATCATGACCTACTCTCAGAAAGTTCATTTTTTCGAAATTTTGGGTCCAACAAAATGGCGAAAATTCAATTTTTCCAAAACTTATCTTGTTTATACTCACTTTGAAGCTCTCAACGCGCTGATTCTAGGAAACTATACGATATTCAATTTGGACGAGCCTGCAAAAAGTTACAGCTAATTCTCTTCCAGATCACCACCCACTACATCAAGGCGCTGTCCACCCACATGCGGGCCCACGATTTCGACATGTATCGTCCGATGAACACTTTGCAGTTTTCAGGTAAATTTTAACGTTTGGAAAGTTCAAAAAGATAAGTTTCAAAAAGTTCGAGCAAATAATAAGAGAGTTATGGAACTTTTTGATAGAAATGTTGCTTTTTCGAATTTTTGTTTTGAAAATTTTCGGAATCTGATTAACACAGTCGATTTTATACGCATTTTGAAGCTTTTGACTTGTTAAATCAATATTCACAGGAAGTTTCTCGATTGCTGAAGCACACGCATGGCTTCACCATCTCCTACCGAACGTTCCATCGAAATGTCCACCGGCGGATACGGTAACCAATAATTATCGAAGCGACGCTAATGGCGGTACACAGCTTCAGGTTGTTTACAGGTACGAATCGAAAAAATCTAGAAAAATGACAAAAAAGATAATTGATGGGGGAATTTTTTGGTTTTTTGGGCGGGGTGATGTCATCAAATTGGGGATCAGAAGTTAAATTCGTTATAACTTCTTGTAGGGTTGTCCAAATCTATTTTTGTAAAGTTATTTCAACTTGGCACGTTAAGAGCTTCAAAATGAGTATAAACAAGCAAGGGTTTGATAGAATTGGAATTTTAGCCTTTTTTTTGGACCAAAAAATTCGAAAAATTGAATTTTTTGAAAGTAGGTCATGATTATACTCATTTAAACCGTCTTGACGAATAAAACTCAAATCTGTAAAAACTGCTAATTTCGGGGCAAAATTAAGCGAGTTACGGTAGTTTTTGTACCCATGCGCCTTTAATCCAGAAAAAATAACTTTTTGAAACTGTGTCGTGTTTATACTCATTTTGACCGGCTTAATGGGAGACACTTGAAAATCGAAGTTTCAAGAGTTTTGAACACAAAGTAACTGAGTTACAGTAGGAGTACTGTAACCACAACTCTAGCTTAGCCCAATGTAATCCAAACTAGGCCATGTTCAGACTCATTTTGAAGCTTTAAATGTTTTAAATTCAGAATTCTTGGAATCGGTAGATTTTCAGCAAAGGCTCAGCTACATTCCGTTCGGACTGCATGACTACCATCTGTATCATTCGCGACAAAGTCAGTGAGCAAACAATGAAAATGCAGATACGCGTTGAAGTCGTTTGTGGTGATTGCTCAGCCTTATTTTGAATTTCAAAAAAAATTGTATTTTCAGAACTCAATCAAGAGAGTGTGGACCATTGTCTGAAACTAATCGATCCCAAAATTTCGGCGATTTTGACAATTGAGAAGGAGAAATTGTATGCGGCAGCGTTGAAGGTGAGTTGGAGTCTCCAACTTGGAGAATCTGGAATTCTGGAAATCTGGAATTCGGTGAAAATTGAATTTTCGAACTTCCCGAACCGCGGTGATTAAAATGAGTATAAACACAACCTAGTTTCCAAAGAGTAGTTTTTTGGATTAAAGGCGCATAGGTACAAAAACTACCGTAGCTCGGTTATTCTTGTGCCAAAATCAAAAATGTCTACAGTTTTGAATTTTTGACGTTTAGACTGTTCAAATGAGTATAATCATGACCTACTTTCCAAAAAGTTCAATTTTTGGAAATTTTGGGTTTCGCCAACAAAAATGACGAAAATTGAAATTTTCAACAAACCATAGCATGTTTATACTCGTTTCAAAGCTCTTGACGTCCTAATTTCGACTAGTTAAACAAAAATTAATTGAGAAAAACCTATAAGAAGTTATAGCAAACTTTCTTCAAGTTCAAATTCGCATAGCCATAAAAACCATCATAACTCTGTTCATTTTTAATTTAAACTCCTAATAATTAGATTTTTGATTTTTTCTCTTAAATACGGTTCAAATGAGTATAAACACGATCCACTTTTGATAAATTAGATTTTTCAAGTTTAAAGGCGCATAGCCCAATTTTTCTTCAACGTCACTACAGAAGAATTCCAAAAATAAACGTTTTCGAAACTCTTTGATATTCCATCCTCCTCCTAATGACTTTACGAATAAAACAGAGTGTCCAATTACCGGAACTGACGGTGCCCCCCCCCCCCCCCCTCTCTCTTCTGAATCCCCGCGCACGTCTCCTAAATGAAAATTGATTCTCCAAAAAAAAAAAACTTCAGGAGTTGGAATCCAACAACGACAACGTCTTTAGTTTCCTGTCACCAGCCAACGCGAGACTTCTAAGGGACCACGATATGATATACGAGAAAGCGGATGGTGTGGACGTTGAAGAATCGGGAATTCTGGCGATTGTTGAGAATCTGATGGTGGCCAGAGCCAAATTGAGTGGAAAATCGATAAAAGGAAAATTGGAGGCAATTAGGGACTTAATTGCCAATGATTATACTCTTGAGAAGATGCAGGCGTTGTTCAAGATGATGAACGACTAGAGTAGTTAGGCTTAAAATTGGAATTTCGAATTGATTGAAAAAGTATACTGTAGAGCTTGCTAAGATCTACAAAATGGTATAAAATTCGAATATATTTGAATGCCTAGTTTTAACCAAATAGGACTTAAAGGAGCAGACTCTATAAACTTAAGGTCCGAATTCTGATACTACATCTCAGCTTATTGTTTCGAACTACATGCGAGTCCGAGTTCTCCGGTTGTTCTAGGACCTATAACACAAAAATAGGCATTTCAATTTAGTTGAATTTTATACCATTTTGTAGCTCTTTCCAAGTTCTACATTTTGCTTCTTGATTTGAGCTAAAATGTTGACTTTGAGCCGAGTTATGCTCCATCTCCTAAAAAAGTATTTTTATCGAAAAATCATGCACTCGCACTTACTATAAACTCATGTTTTTATTTTTTCGATAAAGTTATTTTTGATCTAAATTACTTTTTTGTCCATTTAACTCATCTGGTCACTGTGCACTAGTAAATGTCCTAACAAACCAATAAATTAAAATAACATTCACCAGACTCTGTATGTGCGTATGAATGTCGCACACCCTATCCCCCATTCAAAGTTAACCGATCAAGCTGAAACCTGGACAGATAGATCAGAATTGTGTCTTAGTTGATGCCCGAACTTTTGGTTTTTCGAAATTTTGATTTTGAAGTCTTCTGGAGACGTTCCTTGGTTTCACCACACTAAAGGGTGGAGGGCGACCGGAAGCCGGGAGGTTCAGCCCCGAAGCGGCGTAAACCGACTGGTAAATTAGAATTCCAGGAATTCCAAATTCAGGCAATTTTAAATCCGCAAATTTAGAAACTCTGAAATTCAAGAAGTCAGAATGTGAGGAATCCAAAAGTTCCCCATAGCCATATCTATTCTGGCGGTATTTTATGACCTTTTTTATGACGGCGAAAGGGATCAAGAGACTACTGTAATTGTCTGGCTTATCAGTACCTTTTAGTTTCGAAAATCGAATGATGTTTTTGAAAACTATTAGGTTGGCGGGAAAGTCTTTGTCACTCTGTTTGTTTAATCACTGTTCTCGTATATGGAGGCTGTGTATGATATCGACTCTAGTGAATAACAAGGTGATAAGAACCTTCCATATAAACAAGTCCCCATCTCCTTCCCTGCTCCTCATCTGTAATTGAAACGATATGTTTGTTCCCACTGCTATTCACATCAGACATGTTTTGATTTACCTCTTCCTATCTCACACCGCGATGAAGGATTCGGAAACTTTCTTGAAGAATGTGTACAACACACATGCCCCTCACTACAATACTATTCGCAATTGGTTCCATCGTTTCGAAAAAGATGACTTCTCGCTCGATGAAAAGGATCGCTCTGGGAGACCCCGTGAGTTGGATTTGGACAAGCTGAAGCACGCATTGCAATCGGATCCATTTCAATCTAGCCGTGAACTAGCTGTCACATTCGGAGTTCACCATAGCACAGTCCTTGAAGGTTTGAAGTCTCTTGGAATGAGAAAACTTTTTGGTCGATTCATACCTCATCACCTGACTCAAGCCAACCTTGACCGCCGAGTCGACGATTCGATTACTCTTCTCACTCTCCACGCGGGCGATCGATGGCTGGACCGGCTAATAACCGGAGATGAGAAGTGGGTCTTCTACGATAAACACCACAGGAAATCCCAGTGGGTTGGAGAAGGAGAGAGCCCACAGGATGTCCCCAAACCCGACCTTCATCCGAAAAAAGTTATGCTCTCTGTGTGGTGGGGAGTGGACGGCCCCATCTACTGGGAACTTCTGCCCGAGGGCAAAACAATAACTGGAGACCTCTACACTACTCAACTACGAAACCTCAAGAAAGCAGTCGACCGTTCGGCCCTGAAAGACAAGAAAGTGTACTGTCAACATGATAACGCTCGCCCACATGTTTCGAAACAGTGAAGCAGGAGCTGATGGGATATGGATGGAATGTTCTCCCTCACCCCCCGTATTCTCCTGATCTTGCTCCTTCCGACTATTGGTTATTTGGCGATATGACACGTGCCTTCGAAGGAAGAAGCTTCAATTCCCGTGGAGCGGTCGAAGCGGCACTCAAACAATACTTTGCCTCACGCCCGGCTGGATTCTACCGCAATGGAATCCAAAAATTGAGGGAACGTTGGAGACATGTTGTTGATAATGATGGACAATATAATTAATTATTCGGTTATTTTTTCTTTGAGAAATAAACTATTGAAAAAGTGACAAAGACTTTCCCGCCAACCTAATATTTCACCTAATTCATTTATTTTGAAATAGTATTTCTTTTGATTGATTGTTTCTCCATCAGAAGTCTCCTGAAGACGAATGTTCAGATTATTATAGTCTAATTGTTTGGAAGATGTGTATGTATAAAAGACAGGAATTCTTTATAAATTACTTTTTGTTAACCGGAAGTCTCAAATATTACTTTCAAGAACTTAATGATCCTAGAGCATTGTTTGAATTGAGAAAGGCTACATTTTGGGGGATTGTTTAGGAGGTAAGACTAGAATGCTATCTTTGTGACCCCTTAGCTCGGCTCAAAATGAAAATTCCTGTTTGATCTAAATACCAAAATGTAGAACTTGAAAAGGCCTACATCATGATATATAACTCGGCTATGTTTGAATTAGAAGTTTTGAACCACACAGTCAACGAAAAGTAGTAGGCGCTGTTCTAGCCAATATTGCAACGGGTCTGCTTTGACTAACTTCTAAACGGGGTTAGAATATAATCTAGTTTTGCACTTTGCTTTTGAATTCATTTTGTACATTTTCATAGGGCCTTCAAAATGATATCTAATTCAATTATACTTGAGCCCCGAAATACCGTCGGCGCTACACGGTCGGATTTTGCTGTTTAGGCTGTTTTAGGTCCTCTGGCACCTAAATCAACTTTCCAATCTAATAAAATTATATATCACTTTGTAGATATTTTTAAGTTCTACATTTTGCTTTTTTATTCAAGCTGAAATTTTAATTTTGAGACAAGTTATGCGCCTGACAAGAACGCACATGAGTTTCGGTTGAAATCTTATTTTATTTTCATTTTCCGAATCAGAAAGTTATAACAATCAATAAAAATGTTTAAATTTTTTTCTGAGAAGTTTCCAGATTATCAGGCATCGTCCTCCCCATCTGAATCGTCTTCCATTGTGTTGCCTTCTTCAGAATACAAATGCAAAAGAGTTCTTTCTTTTTGCTTCCGCTCCTCGGTCACTTTTTCCAATTTCTCCATTAGTTTCGTCATTTGGATTCTGCGGAAATTAGGAAAACTTTAAAGAAGGGGTACTGTAGAATTGTTTTTTGAGTTTTCTGAGAATTTTAAAGTTTCAGAATTTGAAATTTCTTCAGACATCATTTTTCAGACAATTCAGAACTTTTGAGGTCCGAAGCGTTTTTTGTTCAGAACTATTGAAATCTCTGTATATTCAAAATTGGCAATTTCGATACCTTGTGAAATTCCAGAAAAATCGAATTTTTTTTTGAATTTCAGCATTTTCTGGAATTTCAGAAAAATCTAATAAAAATTCGTTGTTGCTGAATTTCAGATTTGGAAATTTTTAAAATGAAATTCCAGAAAAATCTAACTTTTCAGTTTCCTGATTTTATTGAATATCTGAATTTTTTATTTCAGTTTCTTTCTTTTTGTTTTTGAATATCCAGAATTAACTGGGATTTCAGAACTTATTATTCCAAAAATTTCGATTTTGGTACATTTTTGAAAAATTTGAAAAATTGAGAAAATCCAACCTTTCAACAAAATCTGTATATTTCAGCTTCCCACTCGGCTGTTGCCCGCAACTTTTGGGCTGGATTAAAGCGGTTTCTGAGCTGTGGCAGGGCGGATGTCGCTTTAGTTTTCTGCAGAAGCCGCCCAGCGACCGCTCAAAAGACACCAAACCTACGCTCAAGATTCGCGTAACTCACACTAAATCTGACCCTAGGCTCTAAAATGATCTGAAATTTTTGTCCAAATCAATTTCATAAACTTGATTTATTTTGAAAAATCAATGGCTAACAGAAGAAAGAAAAAAAAATGAACAGAATAACAAAAAAAGAGAAATAAAAAGATTATCTATTAGATTCGCATTGAATCATGATGTGGGTAGAGTAGGCAGTAGTTGTCACTTGGGTGCTCTGAAAAAAAAACAAAGATAATTGTATTGATTTTATTGTTGCTTACCAATGAGATCTGTCAGATAAAAGTCGGAACATCGGATCGTTGATCAAGACGAAGCTGGAATTTGGAGTTTAGGTTTCGAAGGATCTAGGGGTTTAAAGATCCAAGGATCTAGGGAGCTAGCGATCCTCAGGTTCTTCGAACCAAAAGCTCCTGCGCACGTACCACGCGATCAGATTGCTCTGATTGACACCGTAGTGACGCGTCATATCGTAGTATTCTCGGATATCTCACGGCACAGCGGTGAGCATTGTCGTTCAAGGCATGAGCTGTTTCATCTTTGATGACACTCAGATGTACTACGATCTACAAGTTTCACAATTTTTCGAATCACATTTCTATGTTTTTACCTTTTTGTGAACTTTGGATTCCAGTATCAATTTTTTCTGCCCGAATACGTGTTGCCACCTTCCTTCTGAAAATCATCATAAATACGTTCACAAAATTATGTATTTTACGAAGTTGTCTCTTCGACCTGAAATTCGACATTCTGACAAATCCATTCATCTTCTCTTTTTCAGATGTCCTCACTTTAATTTCGAATTCCTTACTTCAAACCAATTTGTGAAAGTCCTATATTCGAAACCAAATTTTTGCTACTACCACCTAAAAGGTTTTTCATTTTTAGAACAGAAACGACAAAGAAAATTAGATAAATTACGCTAAAATAGGAAAAAACGGATAAACTTTGATTTCGAAAAGAAATTCTGATGCACGCAACGCGAGGCACGCGTCGCCTTTAAAATTCGCCCAAACATCGCCCAAGAATCGCCAAGGTGGTGGTGGTCGGCGCAGCTGCCACAGATCTAGGAGCTTCCTGTTAAAAGCCGCCCAAATAACGCTCTAAAGCCGCATCCACCCCTGTATTCGCCCTAAAGTTGCAGGCCACAACCGAGCAGAAATTCAAAAACATTCCAGAATACTTCAAAAAACCCACTCTTCTCTTCTTGAAAAATTTCGATTTTCATCAATTTCCTTCTGTTTTTCGGCAATTAACCGATCCATTTCCGCAATTTCAGCCTGCAATTCGTTGACCCTTGTCTCGAAATTCGCATATCTGAAATTTAAAACTTTCAGAATTTCCGGATTTTTTTCGGAGAAAAAAATACTCAATTATGTCTCTTTTCCCAGACTAACTTTCCAATAAAATTCTGAATCGTTTCCGCATGAGTTCGTAAGTTTGCCGATTTTTCGAATGCTTCTTTGAGTTCTTTTTGTTTTTCCAAAATTCGAGAATCCACTTCGGACAGGTAGAAATTGATGACGTTGTTTGTGGAGGTGGATGACATCTGGATTCTGGGAAATTTGGAAAATCTGGGAGACAAAAAATTGGAAAATAGGAAAACAGAAGTGCACTTTGAGCTCAATTATCTCGATTACTGTAGGATATATCAAAAGCTTGCCAACTGATAAAATGTTTTTGATATTATGATAATTTTTTATCAGTTAACAAATTATTGATATCATTTACAGGAGCTGAGATAATTGAGCTCAAAGTTGACTGTTTGGGTGGGGTTTGGGTGGCGTTTGGGTGATTAGATTGAATACGGTAGTTTGAAAATTCAAAAAATCATGAGGAATTATATAATGAAAGATAGTTTCAAAAATTTTTTTTAATTCCAAAAATTGGGAAATTCCAAACAAAAAATTTGGAAAACCTGAAATTTAGTAAGGAAAAATTAAAGTCTTGCAACAGAATTTCAAAAAATTGGAAAATTACGAAAAATCTGGAATTCAAGAAAAAAAAATCAAAATTTCAAAAATTGAGATCATTTTGGATTCTAGAAAATCCACATTTTAAATAAAGGTGCGAAGTTTCGAAACCCATTTTCAATAATTCCAAAAAAGCGAATTTTTAAGAATCAGAAAAATTTTTTTCTAATTCTCTAAACTCCAAAAGTTTTGAAAATTCATAGGAAATTTTGACGAATTTTTATTTAAAAAAATTTTATTTAAAGAAAAAATTTTACTAGAAAAAAGGTAACACCTTCTTATTTTTCCGGAAACCGGGGTCAAATTCGCGGCTCAATGAGCACAGAATTTTCGGCAAATTTCGAAATTATTGGGAAAAAAAAGTTTTGGGTTTTTAAGATGCAAAAAATCGATTTTTCGAGAAATTAGAAATTCTGGAAGTTGTATAAATTTTCTGAAACTTTCAGAGTATGATCTAATATAAGCTCACCCAAACCGTTAACTTTGAGCCCATATATCTCAATTTCTGTAAAAGATATCAAAAATTTGTCAACTTACAAATTATTCATCATACTATCACCTACATTTCATCAGTTGACCATTTTTTGATATCTCTTACAGGAACCGAGATATATAGATTCGGAGTTGACAGTTATGCGCCCTCCAACTTGAGCAGCCGCCGACCCGGCGGCTTGAGGCGGCAAACCAATAGCCAATTTAGGGCCTTTATATCTCAGTTCCTGAGAAAGACATCAAAAAGTAGTAAACTGATAAAATGTTTATCATAATATCAGCAACATTCTGTTAGTTGTTCAATTTTTGATATCTCTTACAGGAACCTAGATAAATTGCTTCAAAGTGAAATGATTTTTTTGTTGCTTAAATCTCTTGAAGAAACTGTGATAATTGAGCTTAAAGTTGACTGCTGAAGTTGGCTTTTTTCATAGAAATTTGAATTCCAAGAAAATGTCAGTTTTTCAAATTTCCTCCATTTCCAAAAAAAAGCGCACAAACTCTGTCCATTTTTATTGAAGATCAAAAAGGGGGAATTCACAGGAGAACATTGGGGAAAAATGAGATTTTTTGAGGAATATTTTCAGACAACACATTTGAGAGAGAGAGAGAGAGAGAGAGAGAGAGAGAGAGAGAGAAAAGACACACACCAACCAAAAACGGGATACTATTGTTGACAATTTTTTGAATGCAAAAAAAGGGATTATTAAAGAAAATAAAAGATTTTGGGGGCGGAGCTTATTTTCCAGCCCATGCGTAGAACTGCTTCCTCTTCTCCATCGATGGCCCGACTGGTTCCTGAGCCATGAGATCCTCAAAGTAGTGCACTGGTGCTGCCGATCGTTTTCCCGCCCATGCGTAGAATCTGGAAATTCGAATTCTTGTAGATTTGAAATTTGGGATTTGGCGGGAATTTGAAAAATTTTCATCAGAGTAACGGGATAGACTAGTTCTTTTCAGAACCATGAAACCTATTATGTTTCACAAAAATTATTTTGGAAAAATTTTTGGTTTGGCGGGTGTTCGGATTTTTTGAAATTCAGGATTTTTTGATTTAAAGATTTTTAGGAATTTTAGGAATTTAGATTGTTTGAGAACTTTGAGATTTTCAAAACTGTCGAAATTGTCTGATTTTTTGGATTTGAAGGATTCGACTTTCTGAATCTTGAAATTTTCAACTTTTTGAGATTTTCAGAATTTTCAGATTTTTTTTTGGATTTTCAGGATATTCTGGATTCTAAGAATTTCGGTTTTTCGGATTCTCAATTTTATAGACTTTTAAGATTATCGAGATTTTCAGAAGTATTTCAATTTTCAGATTTTCAGAATTATTTGGATTTTTCAGCATTTTCAAATTCTGAATCCCAAAAATTCCACTTTTTAATCTAAAACAAAAAAAAATTCAATTTTGAGTCTCCAACAAAAAAAAAGCCATGAAAATGTTGCCCATAACTCAAGCGGTGAGTTTTAATTTGTTGGTGCTCTTTTTGCAAAAAAAAGGGAGCGAGCTCAAATTGAATGTGTATATTTGTCATTTTGGAATTGGAAAGAAGCCGGGGCGGTGTTCTTGAAAGGAAAAAAGAAAATCTCAAAAATCTAGTCTTCTAAAACCCAAAATTTATATGCTACAGTAATCCAACTAAAACAAGATAGGGAATCTCATAAATCCAGCATTCAAAGCCCGAAATTTCTAGCTACAGTAACCCAACTTAAAAATAATGGAATTCTTAAAAACGCCTAAAATTTGCAATAACCAAAATCCACTCACTGCTTTCGTTTGTTTCTGATTCCCTCCTCGGACGAAGCGGCCCGTTTGGCGTCCTCCCATGAATAGAACCGCTTGTAGGCCTAAAACAAAGAAATTTCCAGGTGTTGACCTAGTTTTCATTTGATTCGAACTCGAATTTCATGCCATGTAACCAGACACTTTTGACGCCTTTTTTAGTTTTTGTTCGTGATGTACTAAAGGGGAGGAGGACATCATGAGCAGACGATGGCATGAGGTTGAGCAATTATTCAAAATTACATATATAGTTTTTTGAGAAGGACACCTACGAGGTTGTGTCTACGGGAATTAGTTAATGACCACTTTTTGGACTTTGGAGGTTTTAAGAATAGAGTTAAACCGGGAACTAGAACTTTCCAATTGGATATCCTTGTATCTGGGAAATAGAGAAGCTTTTGAGTTTCTTTAAACTCAATTATCTCGGTTGCTAGAAGAAATATTAAAAATCTGTCAACTGATAAAATATTGGCGAAATTATGATAAACATTTTATCAGCTGACAAATTTTTGGTCTCTCTCATAGAAGCCGAGATAATTGAGTTCAAACTGTGTGTATATTATGAAAGGTCCCGCGCTCCTACCAGCTGAGCGATGAACTCTGAAGCCGGCTTACCTTATGGGACCCCTAGTATTTTGCTAAAACTCAAATTTAACTTTCGAAGGGTATAAAGCCTTGAAGAATTAAAGGTATCCTTAAAGATCATAGGTACCTGGAGGGTATACTTGAAGGTATAGGAAAAATCTTAATTTTGGGAATTTCGAAAACTTGGATTTGAGACTGTCTCACATTATTGAACTGGTTAGGAAAGCTAGGCCATGAAAAAATGCTTTAAAACTCTTCAAAAAATCTTCTACTCTATCCAGAACGCCTACAAAATTGTGCTCTAGACGTATATGTTAAGGTACATTGAACACTCTCTTATCATCGATGACTCTAGGTACCCGGATTCTAATCATCCTTGATCAGCTGGTCCCTTCTAGCTAGCTCTAGATCTGTGAGATTCCAGTCAAAACTTCTTTTTTTTTAGTTGGACACTCAAGTCTTGAGTTATAGCAGATCCTAAAGCCTAATTCCTTCTAAAAAATTTCCTAACACATAGTTGGTACTACCTTAAGTCATACGTCGGTAAACTCATACGTCGGAAAATCGTGCGATTGCGACCAATGCGCGCTACTTGACAAGCATTTATTTTTTTTCAATATACACTAGATTTCTTCACTGTTTGGCAATTACACCCGATTTTTTCTAGTTGTTCGGCTATTCTAGGATGTCGCCGCATGAAAACAGAAAACAAAACGAAAACGCACATATGGGAATCGAACCCGCGACGCGCGAATGATAGACAAGCGCGTTCACCTCTACACCACAGGGAGCTTGTGATCTACAACCACTAAAACGATTATGAAACGAGGAGTCGGCGCCGCTTGGAAGAACGCTCGCATTCTCGCTTGTACAGTAACAGGGAGTTATGGTTTGGTGTCCATTGTTATTTTCCGATTGTACTGTGTCATATATCAGAAAACTAGAATTTTGAAATTTTCATGTCTGGCCTTCTTTAAGCAATCTAAACTTAAACTTCATTCAACCTAAAGCCGCCCTCATCTGCTCTATCCCTTACCGTGATTGCTTACCCTTACCGTGATTGGTGCCTCCATGTCGTAGAGGCTTGCCTGTTGATTCTTGTTCTCCCCAGACACGATCATCACAGCCAATGAGGCGATGAGAAGAAGGCCGAGAGCCTTGTTAGCCACGGACATTCTTCTTCTGTGTGAAAAAAAGAGTGACCTGAATTCGAATATGAAAGTGGTAGAAAAGGAGAAGAGAGGGAGCCCCTCTAAGCTCCGCCCATTTTGGAAAAGCCAAAGACAGCCACGCCCATTTTCAATTGGTAGATGGGCGTGGTTGTGGAGGCGTTTGTGTAACTACGGCACATAGTCTATGGGAAAGACGAAAAATTTGAATGACGTCAATGGGAGGAATAAAGAAAACAAAGATTTGAAATATTTAAAGAAAAAAAGGTGTCGTAACAGGAGGAGCAACAATTAGGACAAAAGCAAAATTGCAATGACCACAACTTCCTTTAAACTCAATATTTTTGAATCAAACAAAATGGAAAAAATAGAAAAAGAGAATTGCTACAAAATGATATTATTAGAAAAATTATACCTTGCCTATGAACAAAGTTACAGGCTAACCAAGTTTCTAGCTCGTCTAAGATTCAAGATACCGTAAACACTCCAACAGAAGTCCACCGAAACCTTTAATTTTAAGCTCATATATCTCAACTCTTATGAAAGTTATCAAAAAATGATCAGCTGATGAGACGTTTATCATATTATCACTAACATTTTGTCAGTTGATCACTTTTTTAAAATCTTTACAGGCACCGAGATATATGGGCTCAAAGTTGGTAGTTTGGGTCTATAAGGGTGCTGCTGGTAATGGAAAATTAGAGACACAGGCAACGAGACATTCTGGCTATCTGGGTCTCTTCAAAACTAAAAATATTAAAACAACATGCTAAGACCTTGCGGAAAATAATAGGATTAGCCCCTTTTCGGTTTTCTTGACTCGGAAATGATGTATAGGTCTTATAAATTCAAAAGATTAAGCTTCCCAAGAATTATATATCATCTGAAACACTTTTTCTGGTCACTCATCCTTTTTATGCATTGCAAACATGGTGGTGCTCTCTATATCTACGTCAAATTCTGTCATATTTAGAGCTAACGGAGTATTTAGAGACTAAAGGATGTCTAGAAGAGCAAAAAATCAGGAAGGAAATGGGGGAAAAAGGGAGGATGGGCGAAATTAAAAATTCCAAGAAAAAGAGGAATAAAAGAGGAATAGAAATTGGAGGACTTGTTCCCTCTTTTGTTTCTTTTACGAGCCTCTAGGAATATTAAAGAAAAAACTTGAAAGGTCAAAAACTTTTTTAGAGGAGTTCCGGGTATAGTTCCGTTCATAAAAGCCCAAGGAGAGCTACGCGGTTAACAATGAGGTTGGGTAGGTCATAGAGATATCAAGTATCCTTTTTCCAAAACGCTCGAATTTTATGTCATTTTGTAGAACTTCCCAAGCTCTATATTTCCCAATTTAGCTCGTTCCGAAATATTTGTTTTGACAAAAGTTATGTTCCAAAACGTGAGGAAACCAAGGTTGGCTCACTAAATAGCTCCTAATTCGCTTCAAAATGTACATATTTGTATGGTTTAAACATTGTTCTGTCGAACAAAAAAATTTCTAAATAGTGAAATTTAACTTGTCTAAAATGGTTACGTTCGAGGAGTTCCGGAAATAGAAATGAAGATTCCTTGCTAGGCGGGAAGCGCCTATTTTTATCGGGTATCCGTTATTTGACACAGTTGAATGTTATATTATTTTTGTAAATCTTGACAAGTTCTGCATTTTGCAATTAAAATCATTCCAAAATATTGCCTGTAGCGAAAGTTAGGAGCCAAAATTTGAGGAAACCAAAGTTGGCTCACAAAATAGCTGCTAACTCGCTTGAGAATTTATATTTTTGAATGAACTAAATAACATATTGTAGAGCTGAAAAATTTCTACAAGTTGATAATTAATTTGTTTTAAAATATTGAGTTTGAAGCTAATTACACAGCGTCTACCGATCGAGCTACTCGTTTAGAGGAGTTCAAGGTATCAAAGATGCCGTACCGTTAGAGACTGAGCTGTGCGGTCGGATTTTTTTTATTTAATTGAGATTTAGTTCATTTTGTAGAGCTGAAAAATCTCTACATTTTGATAATTTATTTGTTTTTAAATATTTAGTTTGAAACTAGCTACACCCTCGCTACCGTCAGAGCTGCGCGTTTGGAGAAATTTCGGGTATTGAAGATGGCTGAGCTATGTGTTCGGAAATGTTTGAAGGTAATCACATATTAATTCATTTTGTAGCACTTTGAAAGTTCTACATTTCGTAATTTAACTCGTTAAAAAATACTCACATTGACAGAAGTTAGGAGCCAAAATTTGAGGAAACCAAAGTTGGCTCACAAAATAGCTGCTAACTCGCTTGAGAATTTATATTTTTGAATGGACTAAATACCATATTGTAGAGCTGAAAAATTTCTACAAGTTGATAATAAATTTGTTTTAAAATATTGAGTTTGAAGCTAGTTACACAGCGTCTACCGATCGAGCTACTCGTTTAGAGGAGTTCCGGGTATTGAAGATGCTGTGCCGCAACATACTGAGCTACGCTGTTGGAATTGTTGGAAAAATAGTTGTAATTTAACAGATTTTGTAGAGCTTAGAAAGTTCCCCATTTGGCGAAAGTTATGAGCCAAAATGTGAGACTACCAAAGTTGGCTCACAAAACTTCCTCTAACTTGCTTCAAATTTTATATTTTCAAATGGCTTAAATATAAAAAATTTCTATATTTGAAATTAAATTTGTCTGAAACTGTTAAGTTTGAAGTTAGTTACACCGTTTCTACCGACTGAGCTACGCCTTTAGAGGAGTTCCGGATATAGAAGATTTTGTCGGCCGCTACAGACGGGGGGCTACGCGGAAGGCAACTATTTTTAGCAATAATCCATTGATCATAATAACTTGAATTGTATATAATTTTGTGGAACTTGAAAAGCTGTTCAATTTGCAATTCAGCTAGTTTGAAAACATTCAATTTGACAAAAGTTATGAGCCAAAATGTGAGAAAACTAAAGTTGGCTCACATATTCTCATAACTCGCTTCAAAATTTACGTTTCTAAATGACTTAATTATCATTTTATAGAACAAAAAAATCTCTACATTTTATAATTTAGTTTGGTAACAGCCGTTGAGATTAAAGCTAGTTAGCGCCTACCAATCGAGCTATACTGTTATATGCTCCCCCTCAGAACTTATTTTTGAGCTCTAGTATCCCGGGGCGCCCGTATTTTGTGTTCAAATCTTTTTTTTTTCCGTCTCGACCCGTCACTTTCCCATTAGGAGACCCTCCGTCTTTGATTTACGAGTTTCCGGTAGTGTAAACAGGGGGAAAAAACTAAAAAGTAAATTTTCTAGGAAAATTGGAAGTTTTAGTTTTTGTTTTTTTGAAAAAAAATATGACTAATGCTTTGTCTGAAACTGAAAAAAGAGACAAAAAAGGGGGGAATTAATCAATTTTAGGGTTTTATAGGTTTAGAAACAAAAAGAGCAACAGAAAGGGGAAAAGGGAAAAGTGACGGATAAATTAAAAGTCGTAAAAGTGATGTGTTGGGGGGGAGTGGAAACGGATCTTATCGATGGAAAATGAAATTTCGCAGGAACCGCCAAAGACGTTCGTGGAGCATTGCAGGGTTCTTTGAAATCGACACGTCTACACAGATGGAAATTCCGGCGGATTGGCGGCAAACCTGAAATTTGGAACATTTTCGGGGCTATGATTGCTGAAAAGTTGACTCATTTTGTAGACCATAACATGCTCTACATTTTAAAGGGGGACTCCGACCAAAACTTTTTATTGCATTAAAATGTGTTAAAAGTTATCTATTTTCCAAATATTATTGCGAAAAAATTCAAAGAAAATCCGAAATCTCCGAAAAACGGCGTTGAAAAGGAAGAAAATTCAAAAAAAGGTGCCGCCGGGGGACGAGGATTTTCAGTGAGAAACCTAGGCCACGGCAGCGGGCGCCTTT